ACTCGCGGTTGACCTTGGTTGACCGCCAAGACTACTAAGTTAACTGTGATGCAGCAAGTTATGAAACTGGCAAAGGACAGGATTGGTCCCTAGAGCAACGGTTTCCCATAACAACAGCAGTAGTAAGGGGGAACTGCTTTGTTTAATATTTGGTTGCAACCGCAAGTCACTGCTATGAATGCCGAACTGGCTTAAGAGGACGAACCGTTGAATAAGTGAGCAGCGATAGCAGAATTTACCAGCCGTTAGACACTCACACAACGGGTGCAGTGAAGGAGACAGAATGGTTTTGTGGTTGCACACCCCATAAGTAGACGCAGTTCGGAGTATGGCGATAGGCGATACATGCTATTTGCTTTTCGGGACTGCCCAGTAGTGTACATCCTTGTCAGCTGGGGGTTGAGCTTCAAGTCATGGTGCAACTTTGCAAATAACTTCCGTACAATACTTTCGCTTCACAAATTGTGAAATGGCCAGAAGGAACAACATTTCGACAGGATAATCCGAATTCAACTAGTTCGCGTATTTTGGTCAGCCTTTTACGTACAATTAGTGGAATCGTTAGGTTGCATACTGAGACATTCAAGTGTGACTTCAGTGGTGAATCGAAATCGGTCAAATTTATTTGATGCTGGCCAACATTCCGCTTAGAGGAATGTGGGCACTAGCCCCACCAAGACAGGGCGAGACTGGCAATGAACTCGGGTTGTTTACACAAAGTTAGTTTCATCCGCCGAACTCTCTGAGAAGTGAAGCAGGCGGTCGATGCTTCCTCCGTTGATTATCCTGAACGATTCACGAGGGTTTTCACACATGGAGCAGTTATGCAGGTGTCGGTCCATCGACCTGGCAGGCAGTTCCCGACCCTTCACAGGCAGGTGTCGCCGAGTAGGCTCGGAAATTTTTGTGGATAGTCTCCTCTCAGTTCGGCCGACGTAGTTGCTACTGCAAGTACAGTGAAACAGATAAATGATCGTTGTGGTGACTTGTGTGTCTGGCCTGTCCAGGTTGGATTTAAACAGCAACTTCTTACCTTATTGCGAAAGCATAAGCTTAAAGGCTTAGTAACCCTTTTTTATGGATTGACGGACACGATATCGGGACCTCCCGTCATTTTGGTCGCCTTTGTATGGTGGCGTTACGAACACATTTTTCTTAGGGACGTCGGGCACCCGTTCGTTTCCAGTTTCCGCGTTCGCGTTCGTGTACCGTGCTACAAAGTTCTCAGGATATACATATTGTGTCCATGAAAGTTGAACAGGAACTCGGTAGACTGAACGGATGTATGAACACAAGAAACACGTGCTAAAGGTTATGACTTAAACCATTCACACAAACCGATCGGCAGCAAGCACGCATTCGACCAATGACCTCTAATTGGGCACATGAATCACGACCAATCAATAGCTATGAATAAGAGTAAAGAATAATATGGCAACACCACACAGTCCTCTCCTCTGTTGGCAACTATGTAATCACTTCTTGTCAGCGTTTAAGCGATTGGTTGCATAAGGTAGTAAAGAACATACACATGGAGCAGATATCACTATGTGTTGCCCATCAAAACATACCGGTCGACAGGGCGATGCATCCGGCTTGATACCCGTAGGCTTGCTGCTGTTCGTGATGTTTCCGCAGAAGATGTAGTCGCTTGGGGAGAAGTACTTGGGGAAAGTGCAATATGCAAACGTTTTGCAGTAACTCGCGTCCCATCTGCTAGTTTGTATGTTCTTGGCGTATACATAGATTTCACCAGCGTAGGAGGTTCGATTTTATTATCCCGTTTCCGAGAACTGGGTAGTTTCACACGAACTAGGGTCCCTGGGGAGCAAGTTTTTCCTACTCGTCTGTACTTAGATTGGTAAGTATATCGTCTTTCATATTCAGTATGGTCCGTAGTTCCATTGAATTTACAGGCTACATTTAACCGGGTCCGAATTACTCTTCACTGCTTCCGTTCTGCTTGAGTTTTGGCTGTTGCTGTATGCCGTTGTGGTTCTGTGTGTAGCCAAAGCTGATACCAAGGCGGCCTTCCAACATTCTCCCAAGAGCTGAAGAACTGGTGTAGACTCCTTCAATACCCGAGTTAGTCATTCAACCATTCCATTAGCAGCCGGATTATAAGACACCATTCTGGCTTGTCAGTGCTCCGAAGGAATCCGGCAAACTCGTTACTTCTAAACTGGGGCCCATTATCAGTAAGAATTTCTTTTGGCAGCCCATAACTTGCAAACAAATGCTGCAGCCACTTTATAATGACATCTGTACTTACTTCTTTGCATAGGATAGCTTCTGACCATTTGCTATTAAAGCAAGCGGCAACCATCACTTTTCGTTTCTGAGGATGTACGTTGGCAAATGGACCAATCATCTCGATGACAATTTTAGCCCAAGCCTTCATAGAATACTCAATTGGTTGAACTGGAGATTCCAAAAACTTCGCACTCTTTTCGCATTGTTAGCAAGCATTGCACTCTTGAACTGCAACAACACTGGAATTTAACTTCGGCCACCATTAGTAGGCGCGTATTCTGGTCTTCGTTCGCACAATACCGGGACGACCCTCGTGCACGCAGTCGATCACCGCTGGAATAAGACTAGGAGGTATCACGAGTTGTTCGCCTCTCATAATGCAGTTGCCTACTATAGAAAGTTTGTGGCGAAGAGTATAGTATGGAAGTAACTCCGTTTGGATTCGAGTGTGACTAGGAAACGCACTAAGCAGATACTCCCTACGTTTTGCAAGGTTGGGATCTCAGTCAGTATGTTCACGTATACGGTCGAGAGTTATAGCAATGGGTGTTTCGGTGGAAAGGTGGGAAATAATTTTCTTCGCATCTAAATCTCCGTTCTTCCCTTCTTTTAGCAGTGGAAGCCTGGAAAATGCATCGGCCACCTAGTTAGCACCACTTTGTAAGTATCTGATTTCGTAGTCGTAATTTAGTAAACGCGAGTACCAGCGGCTTTTGACCCTTATTGCCACGGTTCAGTAGGGATGTAATGGCAGAGTGATCAGTACGCAAAACGAATGGACGCCTGAGTAAGTAAAACTTCCACCTCACATAGGCCCAAATACAAGCCAAAGCCTCTTTCTCACCAGTAGAATAATTCCTTTCCGTGTTCGACAAAGTTCATTAAGCATATGCTAATACTTTCTCTTCACCCTAGTGTGACTGGGACAAAACACTAAACCAACGTCGGAAGCATCTGTAAAGACGAACGTGGGACACTGAACGTTGAAAATAGCTACTGACTGGGTGGATGCAACCATCGTTCGTATGGCCAGATAAGATTCCTCTTGTTCACTCATCCAGTGGAATTCTTCGTTCTGACGTGTCAATTTCCTCAACGGCTCAGCGATTGTCGCGAAATCGGGCAAATTTTGCAAATAGTAAGAACACAGACCTAGGAACTGTTTCACCTGTGTGTTGTTGCGCGGTTTGGGGCAGTCAAGAATAGCTCTGCTGTTCTGAGTATTTCGTCTAATACCATAAGTAGAAATCACATGCTTATTGAATTCCACTACAGATAGGGAGAATTGACACTTGCTCGTATTTAAGCGAAGATTGAGCTCATTCAGCCTAAGCAGTACCTTGTGGAGGTTTTCCTCATGTTCAGTAGTGTTGCTGCCAAACACACAAATATCATCCATGTAAACAATACATCCTTTGAGGTCAGATAAGGATAACGTGACGAATTTTTGCCAAACGGCTGGTGCGCTGCTAAGGCCCATCGGTAACACTTTGTACTGATACAACCCGTCTTGTGTGAGAAATGCTGTCAAATGCCGACAATCTGGAGTAAGTGGTATGTGGTGGTATGCGCTACGAATGTCTAGTTTCGAGAATAGTCTAGCATTGGAGAGCCTCACCATCAGTTCATCGGTAGAAAGAAGTGGGAATTTATCCACAATTAGACGCTTGTTCAGCATTCACAAATCAGTACACACGCGTATAGATCCATCTTCCTTTTGCACTGCAACCAGAGTATGAGCCCACTCAGAGCACTGCATCGGTTCTATCAAATCGTCGCCGTTTACACGTAATATCAAGGAAACGCGTTGCAGTTCACATTCAATCATTTCCTCGGAGCAGATCTGGCGAGTTCTCGTAAAAGTGGTACCAACCAGAGCTCATTTGTAGTTCACAGGACAGAAACTGTTAAAGTTCAGGTATCGTCCTCTCCAGATAGGTTTGCGGTACACAGACCGTTTGAGTGATTCACTTGGATTTCTTCTTAGGCAGATATCCCAAAAAAACGGAAGGCACCGGAACATTCGTTTTCAACTGTAAATTTTATCGCGGAGAGACAGTTGTCAAGAGCCGATAGTAAATCATCTGCTTACTCGGTAGTGTCTACAATGATGCAAATGTCATCTAGATAGTAGCTATATGAACAATTCCACTAAATGTATCTAAACGTCTGGGAAATATAGGCGAAACAGTTAAATTCAGATTATGTTGTCGAAATGTTGTTCCTTCTTGCCATTGTGAAATGTGCAAATAACGGCGAGTATTGTTGTCAGTCGACGGGATGAACTCGCTCGTCATGCAAACGACTATGGTTTACCAGACTTAAGTTTACTACTAAACTGTAACGGTATAAACCACTTAGAAGGTGAAAAACTAGTTACCAAACAGATGCTGCGATTTCTCGGTTTTCTAGCGAAAATTCCAACTTAGTCTCTTCTTTGGAACAGCCTGTATTAGAATAGAGATTTGTGATTCTTACCGTTCCATTAGTCTAAGACTAACGTTGGGAAGAACTCGGTTACACAGAGTGAGGCGCAAATTTCAACAGGATGAACAAACCGACTACAAAAGTGGACAGTTGTCATACAATCAATAATCTCACAGGAATGGCAGTGGGACAATATTATAGTTCGGTCGATCATGCCAATAAATAATCATTGACACGAAGATGGAGAAAAAGCATTGCTATACATAGGCGTCAACCTGAGATTTGCTACATGGTAGGTGTCCGACAGACATGCTTCTCACCTGTTTAAGTGGTGGAACAACAGGCCGGCAAGTTTTTTGTTCGTTGGGCTGAGATGGTTAATGAGAACTTGCAGTCGCTTCACCAGCTCTGTCTGGATATTCACATCAGCGGCGTCGATAATCTGCAGTTGAGAACAGCAAGAAGTACACACCTATTGAAGCGGACCGGATCAATAGTAGCTTCCAGACAATTGCATTCGTACATTAAAATCCCATTGCAAAAGTAAAAAGTTCTAATGCAACATGCTAAAGTTGTCAGGAGTAAGACAGTTGCCAGATAATCCCAAAGTCCTGTGCACATGACGGTCAGGCTGTTCGTGGCTTGCAGCAAGAAATCTTTGAATGGTTGGGCACCGGTGGTTGAGAGGAGGGAAAAAAGACTACGGGAAACTGTAAATGTGAGTAGCATAATTGTCAGTGTCCATGAGTCATTGAACCAAATCTGCCAAGTACCATGCTGGTAAGCTTATGGTCACATGTTCAAAGACTTAGAGTGGCGATTACATTCTAACGTTGGGCACATATTGCATAGTTCAGTGAAACCCAGAAAATACGCCCCACAAGATCACTCGGCCGAACCGTTCGCCTGATTTTACTATCGGATCAAGCAAAGGGCTGTCATGTTTTCTGTTCGAATACCCGATAAATTCAGCACTGATGTCTGCCGCCCAATTTAAGAATCCGGATCTACTTGTATACCAAAGCATGGCGGCACAATTTGACCAAATCATAGAATTGTCCAGCGTTTGCAAACGTCTGAAGTCGTTTCACTTTTTCAAGACCGTCGGTACCGATTACGATGCGGTATCTGGTCTTTTAGTTGCGAAAGCTGCAAACCACTCCAAAATTGCCATTGTTTCCGCATCCGTAAACATTGTTATGCTCAGAATGCACAAAAGTAGTGGATCACTCATGTGGTTAGAAGAAACCAATAGTAGTTCAATTTCTGTCCTACCAACTAAGAACTATTCAACATGTTTTCTTGTTGCTAATATCGTTGCAAAAACCCAGCATTATTCCAGTCAGTAGCTTACTGTGTCAAGTTATGGGGGGTTTTCGTATTGTTGAGACAAATGTTTTGTCCTTGCAGGCCTATGTGAAGGGTTAAGGAGAAGACGCAACGGAAAGTAACCACTCACAAAGGTACCGCTCTAACGGTTGATTGTAACGCATCGTTTAATTGTAATATTTAACTCTCTTTCTTGCTACTTTTACCACAACTGCAAAATGACGTTGGATTGGATTACTTCGAATTGAAGCGGGCGTGTCAGATCAGTCCGGGAATCCACTGACGTAAGTTAAACCAAACGTTAGAGCTACACAAATTGATACTGTGCCACAAATTTACGGTTGCTTGCTACAGATAAATCTTGATATTTTTGGTGAATACGGCTGACTCAACCTAACAGACTTGTCACATTGCATACACTGTCCAGTAATGCCACTAAGAAGTCTCAGTAGTATTGATAAATAATACGATAACCCCGTGTATCGGCACAGGACACTACAATGACAGCACCAGACGACAGCTAGCGATGGGCGATTGTTTGCACGGATGTGTGAAAAATTCAATCATGGCTGTGTCTGAGCGTACAATTCAAAGAAGCAAGTTCAACACACAAGTGTAAAATAGGAGCACATGCACAACAAACGCAAGCAACTCGGAAACCAAACTGTCAAATGTTTTTTGGTCTATATGCAGACCAAAAATGATGATGCGTAGGCTGCCAATTGATAAAGACAGTAACGAAGTTGGGGGACGGGAATCGTACGAGGCATTTGTGTTCGCCGAGAAGAGAACTTAACATTCCTGAAAGATACTTGGAACCGATCGAGTAGTCATGAGTTCAGAGAGGTTTGGAAACAATCGGTTGGTATAGTAGATTGATAACGTTTCACTCTTGACGTAACAGCTTCGTCAGACCAGGTGAATCAGTGTAATTGGGGTGGGATTTTATAGCGAACAGGGTCAGCTTCGATGTCACATCACTTTTCACAAATGTACCCAAAGAAGAAGCGCTAGGAATATCAAGACCTTGTCTAAATGAAGACGTTACTCCGACGGATCGGAAAAAACTAACATTTAACCAGATAATCGAGGGTATGACAGTGTGTATTAACATGTCTTACTACGTTTTTCAGTCGAAGCTTTATAGTCAGAAACAAGGTGTTGCCATGGAATCGCCAATATTCCCTGTACTGGCGTACCTGTATGTGGAAGACTTCGAGAATAGAGCGTTAACAAACACCAAACAAACTTACCAAAAGTTCAGTGGCGTTATCTAGACGACACATTTGTACTTGTTAGAAGGGATAAGAAGAACGAATTGCTTGATCACTTAAACTCCATTGATGAGAGAATACAGTTTACTGTTGAGTTAGAACCTTGTAGCGGCACAATACCGTTTCTTGACTGCCTGGTTCACAGCAATGGGGGAAATTTAAGGACAACAATATATCGCAAGCCAACGGATACTGACGGCGTACTCCACTACACTTCAGGTCACCCGAAACAGGTATACGCTGGGATAGCCTCAGCGCCTTTCTACAGGGCACAGACCTTGTGCAAGATGGAGGAGGACAAAAAGGTTGCGCGGAAAGTGGCAATGAGCAAACTATTAGAAAGCGATTACCCACGGCGACTAGTCAAATGTCAATTGCATAAAGTACTACACCGGCAGTCAAGACCCACAGCCGAGTGGATAGTGATGGTCGGAATTCCGTATAAGGAAGGCATTTTGGAGGGTACTAAACAAGGAAAATATAAGGGGGATCTTTCACCGAGGTCGAACGTTACGTTCGGCGCTGGTACACCTGAAGGACCCGCTTCCCAAGGATAGGAAGACTAACTTTGTTTATAAAATTAAATGTAAGGACTGTGCACATGTTTACCTAGGCCAAACAACGAGAGAATTATGCACACGAATTTCGGAGAATAGGAGGCGCATTTCAAGACTACCACGAAATGAGTTTTAATACCAGGCAATAGTAATAGACTCGGCCGTAGCTGTGCATGCATTAAATACGGGTTACCAGATAGACCTCGAAAACGTAGAGGTCATTAGGAGGGGCGTACCATCAACACTTCAGCGGTTAATTGCCGAGGCGGTGGAAATTGCCAAATCTGACGACTGCGTGAATAGAATGGAGGGGGGAACTCCCTAATGCGTGGCGGGCGGTCATAAGCCGGCCAGCTTGACGAGCATCAGTGCGTGGATCAGATTGGAAAGTGCAAACCGACTCCAATTGGCAACACTATGGGCTTATCCCTCAATGTCATGACGCACAAAGGAACAGCTGGACTATTCTCACTGTGATTAAACCACCTGAGGTGACATCACGAACGGTTGCTGTAATGACATCATGGCTCAAGTCTCGGGTAACGCGGTTATTGCCCCTGTTCGTTATAAAATCCCACCCCAATTACACTGATTCACCTGGTCTGACGAAGCTCTTGAGGCAAGCGCGAAAAGTTATCAAACTACTATACCAACCGATTGTTTCCAAACCTCTCTGAACTCAGAACTTAACATTGTTTCTGTGGTGCAGACACGTGTGTAGTGAACGTAGACATCTCGACATTAGCATAAATTTAAGGGTTGTAACGTCAACCAAAACTAAGGGATGTTGACTGTCAACATGTGACACTACTACGCTTGACTACTTCCAAATGAAGTTAGGTTACAAGAGGACAAATGTGAGAACCGATGGGTGTGGTGGGATTTCCATCGTCTGAGGTCCGGCGATTCATCTTGAACTCTCCATATCGTCTGAGTCTTAATCAGTTATTGTATTCAATTCTAATGGACCAATTGCAAACAGAATATGTGTAAATTAGCTCACTCACCTTTCCTAATTCCACAAAGTTGGGGTAAAGGTTGTACGTAAGGAGTGGTTCAGGTAGCTAGAAGAATTAATAAACAAAAGTGTGTATACAGCATACTACTCACGAGTAGTGCAATTTCAAAGCACATTTATAGCCACATTGTTTAGCTACGATTTGGTAGAAAAACCGGTTCAAGGCGCTTGAGGACTGAGGCTGGTTGGCCATAGGCGGAATTACTCACCTGTTACTGTCTAATTAATTTCCATCTTTCCAAGAAAGTGGTGGATTGAACACATCTGAACAGTTTCGCTGAGCTCTACAATGGATGCCTGTATATGTGGTTTCTCCTATTGGCTGGTTCGTCATTGATGCAGTATGCGCTAAAGTTTGGAGAACCTGCGCGCTGTAGTACGTACACTGAAAGCACTCGAAAGAACACTGATGGACGGCGTTAGTGTTTAATGTCTATGTCACATGTAATCAGCATAACTACATCAACAAGAATTTCTTTCGAACACTTACGTGCTAATTCAGCTAATTCATCGTAGCACAGCAGCTGTACCCTTCAGCACAGTTCCATGCATAAAATCTTATTAGGAACGCAAGGAATATTAAACATCGCTGATCGCAGTTGATCACTAATCGAACCGGCCACTACTGTATCCTGCAGTTTTTAGTGTGTACACTTTGTGGCAAGTTGCCTTGCTCACCTCCATTCCAATTTCACTTCAACGTAGAGCTTCGGAGTGACACAGAGAATAGCGTAAATCACATCTTCTTCCACTGCGACTGTCTTGTCAAACCAAACTTGTTAACCATTTATGTAACAGTTTTTGCTAGACACCACGGTCTTCTTTTCGAGAATGGCAGCGTCGGAAAAGCTTGGTTTCCATGGCATTTTCTCACGCACACATGCATGTGCTGTGGGCTACTTCGCATCATTGCGAGGAGACTGTACGTTAACTTAGTGCGATAGTTTTCGTGCCTTAACCATCGACTGAGCGATGTTAGATAATGTTTTTGCACCCTCAAAACCATTAAAACCAGACTGTTCAATGGTCAGAGACCAAACAAACTCAGTTCTTAGACCATCCAGGTTAGGGTTTGGAGTGATGGTGGCGCCTTATTCCATAAGGCCGAATGTGTGCAGCTCATTGCCGAAATTCCGGTGCCAAGGGGTCAAGTTGTTGAATCAAAAGCCTCGGTTGAGAACCCGAACCTTTAGATTGTCCAGGCCTGGGTAACCTAGGAGTATTCTGCACGCGCAATAAAATGCAGACAAGTTATTGATGTCCTGGCCGTTGCAGAGTTACACCACGACAGCTAAAGCATTTCTCACCTCCGACTAACGTGTAAAATGAATGAATAGTTGCTGCTTCATACTGGCTGAAGTCTGTCGCAGTAAATGCGAAGCAACACCAGACATAACGTTGTCACCAATCTAAGTATAGTCATTATTATTATTATTATTATTATTATTATTATTCAGTAGGCGAGCAGTGCAGGTATCCAGCAGCCGGAGTGTGGTAACATAGACCCTTTCGCCGAGTTGACTGTTCCTTGATCTTGAAATACCGGGCCATGGCAATTTCTTCGCATGACTGCGGATAGTTACCGCGGTTGGTATTACTTTCCGAAGTAAGGCTGTAAGGCACGACGGTCCACAGCTGTCCCCCATGACGCAATGGTGAAAAATGCTGGCTGGCGATTCAAGTCGCTAATGGGTTCAGATCCTGATGGGTCCGATGGATGCGCACCGCTGACAAGATTAAACAGATCAAGACGTCCGTATATTGCTTCTCCGCACATGTGAAAGACTATGTGATTTGGAAGCCACAACAAAGTAAAACCTAATTATTCGGATCAAAAATCGTCTAATGATATATATATATATATATATATATATATATATCATTAGACGATTTTTGATCCGAATAATTAGGGAGGGGGCGTCGCTCTTTATGTGAGCTGTAAACTTGACGTTTTGAAGACTTACTTATTTCAGTTGGCAGACAAAACTGTTGAAGCTTTATCGGCTGTTATTAGCACCTCCTCGGCTCAGGTTACAGTTGTAATTGTGTATAGAAGCCCTGGGAGCGTATCCAAAGAGGTACTTGAATTCATTCGCTCCTAGTCCTCAAATAAGTGTTTGGTGATGGGCGACTTCAACCTCCTAGAGATTTGCTGGGCAGATCTTTCTTGCGACTCAGCGTCAGGCATATTCGGTGCTGATCTGCTTGAGCTTACGCTCCAAGTATCTTTGCATCAGTTCATTGACCTCCCCACTAGGTACATGGACGCCCAAGTACCGTCTATCTTAGACCTTGTGTTTGCTAAGTCACTCGATTTTGTTGGTGACATTACTTACGGATCTCCACTGGGTTCCAGTGATCATGTTTGTTTGCTCTTCAGTTGTACTCTGTCTAGATGTTACCAGAGAGTACTCTGGGTTGAGTCTTGCCACGCAGAGTATCAATCCATGAGAGTCAAGGCTTCGGGTTTGCATTGTGCAATCTCAGACGACGATACTGTCGAGGTTGCCTGGCATAAATTTAAGTCCTACCTCACAGAGGTCTCTGCTCCCTTCATCCCAGTCACAAGGAGAAAGGAAGCACGAACACAGCCGCCCTGGATAGATCCCACTGGCAGGCATCTGCGCACAAAGAGGTCTAGATGTTGGTGGACTTACCGAGATGCTCCGTCCATCGATACTTATGACAGGTACCGTAAGGCTAGAAATAAGTGTAAGCAACACCTAAGGAATGCTTGGCTCAATTTCGAGAAAGGGTTAGCGGACGAAGCTTCAGAGAATCCAAAAAGATTCTTCGCTTATGTCAAAAGGCGCTGCGCTTCGAACATGTCAATTCCAGTATTGATGCGTGATGACGGTACTCATGCGCATACGGATTATGACAAGGCCTGCGTACTCAGTGGGCAATATGCGGCAGCGTTCGTAAGGGAAACCTCTTTGACAGGCGTGGAGCTGGTTTGTAGGACCCCGGAGGGTTCAGAACTATCTGAATTTTTGTAGCGGAGACGGAAATTCGTAGGCTGTTAGAAGGGCTGAACCCTTCTAAGGCCCCTGGGCCTGATTTAATTCACCCGAAACTGTTACATGCGTTGGCTGCGGAACTAAGTGGACCGCTCCCTAATGTGTTTCAGAAATCGCTTGACAGCTGTGCATTGCCTTCCGAATAGAAGGAAGCTGTCATCTGTCCCATCTTCAAAAGTGGGGACAGGGGTCTACCTGCAAATTACAGGCCAGTTAGTCTGACGAGTGTAGTGGTCAAACTCGTCGAGAAACTGGTGAGACATTCATTGGAGAGTCATCTGAGTAGATTTAATCTACTTAGCAATGTACAACACGGATTCCGGAAGGGATTTTCGTGTCTGACGAATCTACTGGTGGCTCGCGAAAGTTGGGCGGATGCAGTGGATAACGGCCACACGCTGGACGTGCTTTTCGTCGACTTTTCGAAGGCATTTGACAAGGTACCACATTTGAGGCTCGCGCAAAAGCTGTCCTCCTACGGGGTATCTGGCCGCGCCCTTCATTGAGTGACTGCCTTCTTGCAGTGTAGAGAACAGTGTGTACGGGTAGGCCAGGGCCTATCACTTAGGCAGTCTGTCCTCAGCGGCGTGCCGCAGGGCTCGGTCCTTGGACCGCTGTTGTTCTCTATCTATGTGAATGACCTACCCGCGGAGCTTGAGGTACCATCACTGCTATTTGCTGAATACCTGAAGCTGTGGAACATTGTCGATGTTCCTGGGGGTTCCGAAGCTATTCAGCGAGCATTGGATAAGCTTTGGGACTGGTCTACTTTATGGTTACTGCCCATAAATCAAGCAAATTGCTCCGTTCTTCGAATTGGAGGAGGTTGTCCTCCTACGAAGTACGTGGTCGGTGGGGTCGAACTCCCCCGTGTATCTAGCCAGATTGACCTAGGCGTCGTACACTCTTCGGCTTTACACTCCGGCGACAACTGGAAGAAAACCGCAAGCAGAGGTTTCCGCATGTTGTGGTTAATTCGACGTTCTTTCGGAGTCTTGACGGGCGGCATCTTTACGAGGCTGTTCTCGGCTTTCGTTCGGCCTCTTCTGGAATACTGCGTCCAGGCTTGTCCGTCCTGCCTCGTCCGGGACAAAATGGAACTAGAGAGGGTTTTACGAGTGGGTACTAGGTTAGTCAAGGGATTACGGGGACGGACGTACCCCGAGCGTCTACTTAGTTTGGGAATGCATTCAATGCACTACCGAAGGCTTAGAGGAGACCTAATCCTAACCTACCGTATCTTAACTAGGAAGGTTGGTCCAGATTTATCTTGGCTATTCAGTCCCGCTAGATTGTCTGTTCTACGCGGTCATTCCTTGAAGCTGGACAAACCGCGGTCCGATCGGATTAGGGCGGAAATCCGGCTGTCACGCCGAGTTATCGACCGCTGGAACATGCTTCCGGAAAGTGTTATCAGGGAATCTACGGTTAAGAGGTTTGAGCGGCAACTTGACGCTCTTGGGTGGCAACATGAAACCTTTCCATTTTCTTGAGTAACTCGCATCTTCGTACTTCGATTTTCTTTTCTCTACTTTTCTTCATGCAATGATATTATTTTCTTATGTAAGTGCACTTCCTTATTCTGTGCCTTCGATTTCTCTTCCTATCCTTTGCTTATTTGAGTTGACTGCCACAGCAAGCACTACAAGGGCAAGAAACGTGGGCATTAACTGGTTGGCCAGGGTGCGATACGGGTGTTCCGTTTTAGATCCATCGATAACTGAGCACTTCATCAATTCCTGGCTCAACGATCCACTCAAGATGGAACACTCACGGGATTCTCCTATTGTTCCGGTCCCATATGAATTGAAAAAATAGTAGCATAACGCTCGTAAACTCGGGCGGTAACCGAAAGGATTTCACGCTTCCTTGTACTCCGGAAGTAACCATTTTAAATCCGCGTAAGTACGGGCGATCACGCGGTATACTCAGCCCACCCGCAACTGTTGGTGATCAGGTGTCAGCGAGGCGTTTGCACGTTGTGCCGGCGTACTGCTGATGCCTTCATCATCATCTTATTCCGCTT